TTCCAATCCCCTCCCAGTTTATCCCAGTGCCTCCCAGTCCATCCCAGTTTATCCCAGTGTCTCCCAGTCCATCCCAATCCCTTCCCAGTCCATCCCAGTCCCCATCTCATCCCTCCTTTATCACCCTTCGACTCCCTCCCAGTCCATCCCAGTTTATCCCAGTGCCCCCAAATCTGCTCCCAGTGGCTCCCAGTCCATCCCAGTTTATCCCAGTGTCCCCAAATCTGCTCCCAGTGGCTCCCAGTCCATCCCAGTCTCCTCCCAGTCCATCCCAGTGCCCCCCAATCCCCTCCCAGTGCCCCTTTATCACCCTCCCACTCCCTCCCAGTTTATCCCAGTGACCCCAAATCTGCTCCCAGTTTCTCCCAGTGATTCCCAGTTTGCCCCAGTTTGTCCCAGTGACCTTCTGGAAGTGGGGGGCCCCCTCAGGCCTGAAGAACCACTCGCTCTCGGCCTCGGCGGGGGTCTCGCTGCGCCGTTTGCAGGCGATGCAGAGGAGGCGGAACGGGGCCCCCAGCACGGCCTCGGTGCCCGACGCCACCTCCACACAACCCCCCTGGGCCCCCAAAACTAGAGTTTTGGGGGGAAAAAGGGAAAAAAAAGGGTTTGGAATTAAAAAATGGAATTTTGGGGGAACTTCGGTGAAATTTGGGTGAAAATCGGTGAAAATTCGGTGAAAATTCGGTGAAAATTCGAGGAAAATTCACATAAAATTCACAAAAAATTCGCTCAAAATTCACTCAAAATTCATCCCAAATCCAACAAAAATTCACTCAAAATTTACAGAAAATTCGTATAAAATCCACCCCCCAAATTTGCCCAAAATGTCCTCAAAATCCAACCAAAAATTCGCATAAAATTAATGTAAAAGTCGCTCAAAAGTCACCCCAAAATTCACCCCAAAAGGCGTAGAAAATTCGCTCCAAATTTACACAAAATTCAACAAAAAATCACCCTCAAAATTTGCACAAAATCCGCCCCAAAATTCACCCCAAAATCTCAAAAAAATTCACGTAAAATTTACTTAAAATTCAACCAAAATTTCCCCCAAAATTCAACCCCGAATCCACCCAGCACGGCCTCGGTGCCCGACGCCACCTCCACACAACCCCCCTGGGCCCCCAAAACTGGAGTTTTGGGGGGAAAAAAGGAAAAAAAAGGGTTGGAAATGAAAAAATGGAATTTTGGGGAATTTCGGTGAAATTCGGGTGAAAATCGGTGAAAATTCGGTGAAAATTCGGTGAAAATTCACATAAAATTCACAAAAAATTCGCTCGAAATTCACCCAAAATCCAACAAAAATTCACTCAAAATTCACTCAAAAACCAACAAAAATTCACTCAAAATTTACAGAAAATTCAAATAAAATTGACCCCCAAAATTCACCCAAAATGTCCTCAAAATTCAACCAAAAATTCGCAAAAAATTAATGTAAAAATCGCTCAAAAATCACCCAAAATTCACCCCAAAAGGCATAGAAAATTCGCTCCAAATTTACACAAAATTCAACAAAAAATCACCCCCAAAATTTTGGGGGAATTTTGGTGAAATTTGGGCGAAATTCGGTCGAAATTTGAGCAAAATTCGAGCAAAAATTTGCATGAAATTTGAGTAAAATTCGCTCGAAATTCACTCAAAATTCACCCCAAATCCAACAAAAATTCACTCAAAATTTACAGAAAATTCAAATAAAATTGACCCCCAAAATTCACCCAAAATGTCCTCAAAATTCAACCAAAAATTCGCAAAAAATTAATGTAAAAATCGCCCAAAAGTCACCCCAAAATTCACCCCAAAAGGCACAGAAAATTCGCTCCAAATTTACACAAAATTCAACAAAAAATCACCCTCAAAATTTTGGGGGAATTTTGGTGAAATTTGGGCGAAATTCGGTTGAAATTTGAGCGAAATTCGAGCAAAAATTTGCATAAAATTTGAGTAAAATTCACTCAAAATTCACTCAAAATTCATCCCAAATCCAACCAAAATTCACTCAAAATTTACATAAAATTCGTATAAAATTCACCCCCCAAATTCACCCAAAATGTCCTCAAAATTCAACCAAAAATTCGCAAAAAATTAATGTAAAAATCGCTCAAAAGTCACCCCAAAATTCACCCCAAAAGGCACAGAAAATTCGCTCCAAATTTACACAAAATTCAACAAAAACTCACCCCAAAATTTTGGGGGAATTTTGGTGAAATTTGGGCGAAATTCGGTCGAAATTTGAGCAAAATTCGAGCAAAAATTTGCATGAAATTTGAGTAAAATTCACTCAAAATTCACTCAAAATTCACCCAAAATCCAACAAAAATTCACTCAAAATTTACAGAAAATTCATATAAAATTCACCCCCCAAATTCACCCAAAATTTCCTCAAAATTCAACCAAAAATTCGCAAAAAATTAATGTAAAAATCGCTCAAAATCCACCCGAAATTCAAGCAAAATTCACCCCCAAAATCTCAAAAAAATTCACATAAAATTCACTCCAAATTTACAGAAAATTCACCCCAAAATTCACAGAAAATTCGTATAAAATTCACTCCCAAAATTCATCCAAGATCTCAAAAAAATCACGTAAAATTCACGTAAAATTCAACCAAAATTCACGTAAAATTCAGATAAAATTCCACCCCAAATTCACCCCCAAAATTCAACCAAAATTCAACCAAAATTTCCTCAAAATTCAACCAAAAATTCGCATAAAATTCATATAAAATTTCCTCAAAATTCAACCAAAAATTCGCATAAAATTCATATAAAATTTGCTCAAAATTCAACCAAAAATTCACGTAAAATTCATATAAAATTTCCTCAAAATTCAACCAAAATTTCATGTAAAATTCATATAAAATTTGCTCAAAATTCAACCAAAATTTCACATAAAATTCATATAAAATTTGCTCAAAATTCAACCAAAATTTCACACAAAATTCATATAAAATTTCCTCAAAATTTAACCAAAAATTCGCATAAAATTCACATAAAGTTTGCTCAAAATTCAACCAAAATTTCACGTAAAATTCATATAAAATTTCCTCAAAATTTAACCAAAAATTCGCATAAAATTCGTATAAAATTTCCTCAAAATTCAACCAAAATTTCATGTAAAATTCATATAAAATTTGCTCAAAATTCAACCAAAAATGACATAAAATTCATATAAAATTTGCTCAAAATTCAACCAAAATTTCACATAAAATTCATATAAAATTTCCTCAAAATTCAACCAAAATTTCACACAAAATTCATATAAAATTTGCTCAAAATTCAACCAAAATTTCACGTAAAATTCGTATAAAATTTGCTCAAAATTCAACCAAAAAATGACATAAAATTCATATAAAATTTGCTCAAAATTCAACCAAAAAATGACATAAAATTCATATAAAATTTGCTCAAAATTCAACCAAAATTTCACGTAAAATTCATATAAAATTTGCTCAAAATTCACCCAAAATTTCACATAAAATTCACCCAAAATTCACCCAAAATTCACCCAAAATCCACCCAAAATTCACCCCAAATCCACCCAAAATTCACCCAAAATTCAACCAAAATTTCCCCCAAAATTCAACCAAAACTGGGGGGGGAGGGGGGGTCCAAAGTGACATTTTGGGGGTCCAAAGTGACATTTTGGGGTCCAAAGTGACATTTTGGGGGTCCCAAGTGACATTTTGGGGT